GGCTCCCTTAGATTGTAACTACATACTCCCTGAGAAATTCTGAATGACAGTAATGAATGACATTGGTTGCATGTAGAAAACATTACTGATTATACCTATATCAAGGATTTGTATAAATCCTTGCCTATATATATAATAGTCATGAAATTTCGACAACCTTAAGTTGAACTTGTTTCTGGTGCTGATGTCATTAATTGACCTCAGCTTACCGTTTAGTCATCATCGCTGCAATATCAATCATTTAACTGATTGAGGTATCATTATCGTTTAACGTTAATTAGCCGATTGAACTTGATCGATCATGAAAGATGACAATCTAAATCAATCAATGACAAGTCTGTGCTTCTGTTTAAAGTTTGCTCTTTATTTTAATTTCTATCAAGTTTCTGTTACTATGGTAATAACGCAAGAAAGTCTGACACAGATTTAAATGCTGATAAGTGACTGGGGTGAATCATTTCAGCTAAGTAAAGAATTTCCAAACTTTTGTTATAAATAGAAGTTCAGCTGAAACAACACATTTTTGTTTTATAATACTGAAAAATGAAATGAACACTAATCCTTTTGCAAAAGCAAAAGAAGGTTTGAATGATATGCAAAGGAAATGTGAGAATGAAAAAAATCCATGGCAAATTCTTTCACGAATCATCATTTTAAAATATTTGGTATTTAATCAAAGGTGGAGACAGTTAAAATTAGTGTACAGAGAGAAAATTAGTAAATTTAATGAATTAAACGTGATAATCTGTTATCTCATTAAACTTGTCGACATAAATTACCTTAAACTAATGATAAACAGGGTTGTGTAACAATTTTATTCATTGTTATCAGCAGACCGTAGATACGGTGAACATATTCCATGTTTTCTGGAGATAATAAAATTATACGTGAAATTGAAATATATATTAATATAAAAAAATCTTATTTTTAAACAGTAAAATAGCTGTCGGAACAAGAAACGCAAGTGGACAAATAACACACTCTATATTCAAAGAGTTTCTTTGTTAATAACTTTGAAAAAAAATTAAACAAGATAGTGTCTTTTGTAGGCATCATAGTCTGCAATATTACTATTTTTTTTAATTTTTGGGAGGGGATTTTAACCCCTTTTAAAGTTATCTATGTTACTATTCTGGAAAAAAAACGAATCAATATTGGAAAATAAGATCATATGATATGCTCTCAAAGCTGCGACGATTGCAGAAAATAGACTTGTTGTTTGTCGTTAACTTTCTATTTCTTAGGTAAAAAAAATCATGGTTCAGTTAGGGGGTCAGTGATATCATTGATTATATGCATGCTTGTAAACATTTCTAAACCGATTAATGCAATAATGTTAGGAAAGTAATGTTTCTTGACTATTTTATTGAATTAGTTGATTATTATACTTGTTAAATGCAACATACTAGCTTAAATTTAGAAAACAAGTTTGCTGACTTATGCAGGCAATTAACTTTTAAAACATGTCATATTGTGTTACACACAAGTTTAGTAACATTTATTATAAATATTTTGTCGACCAGGAATGTAATGTGATGTTTAAGTGTTCAGAATTATATCAAGATGTCGGAAGTTAGTTTAAGTATCTGATAAGATATAGCATGTGTAACCTCTTAGCTGTCAGTTTGCCAATTTTGGAGACAGTAAATTGTGTTAAAAAATAAATAGTTTTAATCACGCAGTTTCTGCTTTAACAAGTTCTTTGCATGATCGAAATGAAAAATCTGTGAATAGAAAATAACATAAGGGCTCACATAACGATCTTCACTTCCTAAGCGCTGGGGTCTTTTCTTTTAATAAATTGCAAGTCGGTCGGAAAAATACTCTTCACGGACTAAGCAACGCCGAGTCCCAGATCCATCAACTAAGGGTCCTAACCTTTTAAAGATTTTCATCTCTGTCACTAAGGATTTGTTGGATTTGTAATGTTCACATCAATCACTCATCATTCGGCGTCTCTCCGCTGACTAACATCAAAATAAACAAAAAATAGGAAGATACAAATAGGGCAGTCAAAATTCATAGCTCGAACGACTGACAGCAACACCATGGCCAAAAGAAAGTAAGACAAAAATGCAATAACATTACACGGAAAACTAATGACTCCAAGAGCAACATGATCCCAATATTTAAAAGAAAACATTGCGAAATCGTGTACTCTTGATAACCAGTTTCAGTCTACTGGTCACCAATTTGAGAGAGTCCACTTAAAAAGTTATTTTCGATGACATGGTCGACAGATCAACATGATTGCTATTACAGAAAACAAGAACACATGCAGGGATGAAATCACCAACAGCGCTTTGGTTAATCTTGCAATGTTTTCTTCTTATATTCAAAATATACCTCGTCTATATTTTCCAGTTGGCTTAATGCAATCGGATGCAGGGGCGGATCTAGTATTTTTGAAAGGGGGCGTAATTCCCTAAAACGGAATGAAAAAATGGACCATTTTATGCCAAAAAAAAAATACGATCAAAGGGTTGGTGTGCGCCCTCTACGCTGCCCTTCGTCCACCACTGGGATGCATGCCTAGACCAGAGACTATTTATAATCTAAATTGGACTATTTGGAACTCACCAATTTTTCTTGGGTTTTTAGGGAAGAAAGCTGCATACATATGTAATATCATATAATGTGGATATGTAAATATAGCCTAAATAATTGCATAGACTGTCGTCAGCCAGGACTCAGATTTTATAAGCAGAAATATACGAAGAACACAGTAATGGCTGCTGAACTTTTCATTTGTATTACTCTTGTCTGAATCATATTTCCTATTTGATTAAAAATAATTGATGTTTCAGAGATATGTGAAATATTCACGATTGTTATAAATGTATATTTGATTGTCTGGCACATCATTAAGGATCCAGAGATTAAATACCTATCTACATCGGTATAGATAATCCCTATCTGCATCAAATATTGATCAATAACTGGACAGGTGAAGGCAGACACAGGTGATGGCTTATTACAGAAAAAAAACTACCTACATTCTAAGATTATATCACTAACTTATCTTTTATTTCGATCAATAGTCTTGTGTATATGACATGATATTATATAGAGTAAATGAAACCCCATATGATTATGTTTTCGACACCCTTTTTGAAATTGACGGACTGACAACATTATGGGAACAAATATTTCCTGTTATGATTCTGTTCTACTTGATACGCGTATTTTTTTGCCAGTCGAAGAGGAAAAAATACATATGTAAATTGATTTATTATTAGAGCATTTTCTGAGGCACACGGTCACTACTAATATCTTAAACAGCAAAATAATTTTTGTTCAGTTGTAACTTAAAATCAGTTTTTGAATTAGATGGCATATCCAGTGGACATATTCCCTCCATTTTGACTAGTTTCGTATTCTGTTTTCATTTGTACGATTGACTGTATAAAAAGGGAAATGTGTAAGTTTTCCAATATTTCATCGGTCTGACGAATAATTGGGTTACACAATCTTTTCCAGTCTACACCGGATGGGTAAACAGGCACTAAGCCAGATTTATTATCAGTTGTTGATGATGTTACTTTGATCTGAATTCAACACTTAAACAAGGAAGAAACTTTTGTTGCTCTTAAGACATATTTCAGTCAAGGAGTTTATAGGGAAGAAAGTTGCATACATATGTAATATCATATAATGTGGATATCTACCTAAAAAAATACTTATAGCCAGGGGCCTATCCAATTGCTGTTGAAATTATTTTCATAATGACAATTTTTGTTGAAAAACACAAAATACCTGAACTTTGAAACTTTAATCATATGATCTAAAATACAATAAAAGGATACTTACATGTCTATAAATATATGGACGTGTGAATATGATACTTGTTAAAAAAACTTCACTCTTCCGTGAAGAAGGTGTTGTACACAAATTGTTAGAATATTATTATATACAGTCGTGCATGAATGTGGCTATGTAATTTATTTTACTTTTAGATCGTTTTTTCAGAAACCTATGTTGTATTTCAATGGTCTAAGTAGTTACTACTGTAATCACTAGCCAGTCAACACTGAGGTTGTGAGTTCGAACCCCGCTCGTACGGGTGCACTCGACTCCAATCTTAATTGACTAGGATTGTCAGTTTTCCTATCGAAGGTCGGTGGTTTTCTCCGGGCACTCCGGCTTCCTCCACCAATAAAAACTGGCCGCCACGAAATAGCCCAAAAGCGGTGCTTAAAAGTGGCGTTAAAAACACAAAAAATCATATCAAATCAATGTCTACATTTGGGTCTTCAAGTGTAACCTACTATTTATGCTTGAATGCATGTTATTTGTTAACATACGTTTCCTCGGAAGAACTCACGGCTAAGAAGTGATTTCTCTTACCAAAGGAGTTTTATTGGCCTACATTTTGTTAAATCTTCAAACGACTTGTGTTTGTTTTGTCTTGGACCTTATATGACATTATCATGTCCCATCTTATATCAATCTACATCGGTAAATTTTGAACTTGATAAGATAGTAAAATAAGACGCAAACCTTTTATCCTTCTCTGTGTTGTGCTTCTTTAGTTATATTTACATATTGGTCAAAGGTTAAGCCTTCCAAAGAAGTTTAGATATATATACAAATGTGATTTACTATGTATGTGGAATAAATATTGTGTTATACATGTATATACAATTTGTATTGATATCGAAAAAAAAATATGTAGTGTTACGTTATGGTCGAAATGAATCAAAATACTGATAAAGCTTGACCCAACAATAATCCAATGGTCCAAGATTATTATTGGAGTTTTCTTGTATTCCTTGCATTAGCTTATGAGGCTATATTTAACATATTAAACTGTATATAGGCCAATCAGTTAAAATAACAAGTATGCACGCAGTGACCACGAAGAAAACACAAGTGTTGTCAATGTCCAACCATCTGATCCTTTGCTCACTTTCAACAATTCTGAGGCAAAGAACACCAGACTTATAATTTAGTGTTCAATCCTATAATAATGAAAACTTTATCTATTTTGTTTATTTCAGGTTGATATGCCAGTGTTTTTCTTCATTGATCCAGAGTTTATGGAGGACCCTTTCATGGACAAAGTAGAGGAGATAATGTTATCATACACATTTTTTGAGGCAAAAGACTCTGATAAGTTACCCTACCCTGGGTTTCCCACTCCAAAAGTTGAGGCTATGTAATATGGTGTAAATAAATTATTTATAATATTTGTCCGTTATTTTATTACATGCGGAGTTAGAATCCATATGGAATCTGCTATGTATTAATTAATTATTACCGTTGTTAAGAATCTGGGTCCCAAAAGAACCTAATTACCTACCGTCTCATTAGTGCGTATTTCAGAAGTTTAATGTATTTTTTTTATCTCAGTAATAAGCTATGTGCATTTTACTTACTGTTAGTAATCAAATAATTTGGGGTATCTTGGTTGTTTCTGACCTTATGATGTGTTTTTGATGTGTTTTGTCTAAATAATACACATTTTAAAACTGTCAACCACAGTTAACTCACTGACAAATGCACACAAACATTTAAGAGGGCAATAAACAAAGTGATTTAAGATTGTGACATACAACTGATTATACATATATATGGATTCTTATTCTTATTCTTATTCATATAAAAATTCTGAACAGAATAGGATTTGTTTTATTAATTTCCGTTTTGATAGTGTGATATGGATATATACACAATGTTTGGTAAAGAATGAAGTTCTTTTAAGCATTCTTGAACGTTTTATCATTCAAACTCAATAAACCCAGAAAACGTTAGTAACTAAGTTTAAACTTCTATAAAAAAAAGTGATTTCTGGTTCACAGATTTTCAGTTGCAAGTTCGTTAATTTAGATGTATATAGTCGGCTTATATGTGCACACATGGTCTGTGAGTCAGTTTATTAAGATTTTTTCTTGTGTTGATTGTCGTTTTATTAACTGTCTTAACACCTCATGTTGGTGCTGCGATTTCTCCTATATTTGCGGTTAGACATATATATCATAGTTATACCGTGGATTGATATTGTCCTACTTATAAAGTGCTAAGTTTGTCAGAAATTCGTTTACATGAGATTGGAAAGTCTGCACAATCGTGATAATTCAATGTGCCACATTAAAATAAAAATAAAACTAATTTAATTACCAATAATCTTCGTTCATTCTTTTATAGTCAAAAGTAAACAAAGAAATGTCTTTTTATCTTCGATTTATCCGGTTGAATTATTCAAGATGAAAATCAGATTCACACAGACTACGATGTTATTGATTCTTAAGCTCTAATCAAATAGAGTGAAGTCAGTATTGTCAGACGTACCAAAATGGCACCAGAAATAATATTCCGATAGAAAGAAATGCATCATATTTCTTTATGATGGCTATATTTTTGTATATAATATAGTATTGATCTCATGATAAAAACCTCTAAAGTTTTCAGCTGTATTTGTGAATCATTTTAGATGTTTTGTTAAACCTATATCTTGTATTGATTAATTATCTCTCATAAGAACTCGCACCTGCTAAACTATAGAATCCACCGATAACTTTTGCTAAGATAAGTATTACATCACCAAACATCAATGCATTCTGCATGGTATAATAATTGGACTCAATCCCCGCAAGGAATGGTTCTTCAGACAGACAGAAGATCTGCTATTTTTATTTCTCATTAAAACATTTCCGTTTTAAAGATGGCATATATTTAAAGAATGTTTGTTGCCGGGTATTTGAACTATTTTGTTGCTCTTTTTACTTAATCTTAAAAAGTATGTTGTTCTGAAATCATACACGTTCCAGTGTTACTTTCGATGGTTGTAGTAAGACTTTTTGTTAGAAAGTAGGTTTGCTGCAGTAAAAGAAGAGTATGTCGTCGAGCCATAGTTTTACCGGCTTATCCAAGGTATATCTAGTGACTTGCGGATTAACATGCACAAGCTAACCTGGTACGTCTGTTGATCAGAGGTAATGCCTGCGACGTGACTGAATGTATGATGATCAGGCGAGACAAACAACACACTACGATTTTTTTAATAAAGCCCCTTTCCGTCACTTCGGAATTTTAATTGACGATCTTTGATTTGTTGGATTTCATTTTTTTGGGGCTTAACTTGCAAATGTGGGGACACTTTATTCTTTTTTGAACGATCTGTGCACAGATTTACTTTTAGCTTTGATCAAGGTTGTTTTTTCTGCACTTTTCAGAATGGTGCTTTCTAAAATCTATAAGATCACATCGGCCGAAATTCATGATCAAATATTCTAAGCATGCATTCAGTAATCTTTAGATAGTATACTTTTGATATTAGTTTCCGGTCTATTCTGTCATTTATTGTGTTTGATTTGTAATTTGTCCTCATGTAAAACACATTTTGTGTCTTGGGTGTAAATAAAGAATTGAAATTGAATTGAGTAATTGCAAAATGTTTTATATAGTGGTGTTTTACCTGTACCCGAGGTCTGTCTTGCGTCTGTCTTACCAACATCATAGAGTTTATATTGCACACTTGGCTTTTATTGTGCTTTAAATCTATTTCTTATATAAGATTGGTTGTTGCTGATAAAACTTGTTTAATACCGCGATGTGAAAAGTCATTTACCTCCTGCAGCGAGAAGAAATACTTTGATTTTTTTACCCTTCCGTAATATCGTATTTGTCACTGATGAGTCTTTTTGTAGACGCGCGTCTGGCGTAAACATTTTTATACGACCGCAAAAAATTTTGCGGTCGTATATTGGTATCACGTCGTCGTCGTCGGCGTCAGCGTCGCCCAAATACATTTTGTTTCCGGACAATCACTTTAGTAAATGTAAATAGAAATCTATGAAATTTAAACACAAGGATTATAACCACAAAAGGAAGGTTGGGATTGATTTTGGGGGTTATAGTCCTAACAGTTCAGGAATTAGAGGCCAAAAAGGTGCCCAATAAGCATTTTTCTAGTTTCCAGACAATAACTTATGGAACGGTGTATGGATCTCTCTGAAATTATACCACAAGTTTCCATACCACAAAGGGATGGTTAGGATTGGCTTTGGGGGGTTATGGCTCAAAAACCGTTTAGGAATAAGGGGCAAAAAAGGGGAAAAACCAGGGTTTCCGGGTTAATGGACAATTAAAAAAAAGTACAATGTTATGTTTGGATTACCTCCCTTACACTGTTTTTAAATTATGTATAAAAAAATGTTGTATTGTCTTGAGGTGATTAGCTGTCAATTTATTTTTAGAAGTTACTATTTAAAAATGCTGATTAAGGAATATTAATTTTAGCTATGATTATGTATGTCATTTTCTATTTTAAGACTTTTATGATGTATTTAAATGGGTAATTATGGTTGCAAACTCCATTGGAGATTTGAATTAAGATTATGACCATATCTTGAGGGAAAGAATTTTTTTTTTGGAAAAAGGGGGGGAGGTGAAAAAAAATTGGGGGGGAACATTTTTTTTGGGGGGGGGGAGTCAATTCGCAACAGCATAGTGTATTGCACAAAAGCAAAAAATTGAATATAAATTCAAATCATATAACCAATTCTAAGTTCTTTGACTACAGTTATTCTGTGTCAGAAACCTACTATGTGTCAAATATTTAATTACAATCCAAATTCAGACCTGTATCAAGCGCGAATATTGTGTCCATTTTTGCCCCAACTGTTCAGGGTTGGACCTCTGCGGTCGTATCCAGCTGCGCTCGGCGAAGCAATTTATTAATCCTGGTATCTATGATGAGTTTATTTACTGATATATTAAATGGTCTTAATTTTTGTTCTTCATAATCGAAATATCATCTACAATAATATTCAGATTTATTTTTTATTTTTCCGTTTTTTTGTCGAGCCTGCGACATTTATGACGCGAAAGCAAGACATGGCGATTCTAGATCCGTCGACGGCGTCACGTTAACGTTTAGGTTCAGACTGTGGTTAAAGTTTTTTTTTTAAGACATCAATAACTTTATCAAACCTTCATGGAATTTTATGAAATTTGGACAGAAGCTTATTTATAACTACAGTATCCAGAGCAAAATTTTGAAAATATTTATCTTCATTTTTCCATATTTTACTGATAAATGGACTTAGTTTTTTACAGTTAATACTCAGGCTCAGTCTGAGGTTAAAGTTTTTCAGTCATCAATAACTTTGGAATTTTATGATATTTGGATAGAAGCTTGTTAATGACCAAAATACAGTATCCAGAGCAGAATTTTGAAAATAATTATTTTCATTTTTCCGTATTTTACTGATAAATGGACTTAGTTTTATTTACAGTTAACTAGTAGTCTGGGGTTAAAGTTTGTTACACATCAATTACTTTGTCAAACCTTCATAGAATTTTGTGAAACTTTGACAGAAGCTTTTTTATGATTAGGAGATAATGTCTGCAGCAAACTTTTGAAAACAATTTTTTTTTCGTTTTCAGTAATTTTCTGATAGTTGGACTTAGTTTTTTACAGTTAAAATTTACAGACAGTGTGGGATTAATTTTTTTTTGACATGATAAATTTGTAAACCTTCATGGATTGTTTTGAAACTTGGAGAGAAGCTAATCTGCAAGACCAAGAAAAAGCATCGAAAGAAAAAGTTTGATTTTTTTTTAATAAATTCTGCATTTAATTGATTAATGGACTCACTTTTGAAGTCAACATTACACTTTTACTCCGACAGCAGCAATCGTAGGCGAGACACAGGGTTCCACGGAACCCTTTACAATTTTTGTCTCGCCTGCGACTGTAGTCGCGGAAAGCGAGACACATGGATTGATTTTCCGACTCTGGCGTCAACAATTGTTAAGTTTTCTGCTTCAGTTAGTTTGATAGGATCTACTTGTAATAGATCAATGATATTTGGTATGAAGTTGCATTACTATCAGTACATATAAGTTTGACGACTATTTTGAGGCCCTGTCCCCTAGGACATGGTCCAGTGACTGAATTAATTAGCAATTTTCAATGTTAAGTTTTTCTGCTTAAGTTAGTTTGATAGGATCTCCTTGTAATAGATCAATGATATTTGGTATGAAGTTGCATTACTATCAGTACATATCAGTTTGACGAATATTTCGAGGCCCTGTCCCCTAGGTCATGGTCCAGTGACTTCGAATTAATTAGCAATTTTCAATGTTAAGTTTTCTGCTTAAGTTAGTTTGATAGGATCTACTTGTAATAGATCATTGATATTAGGTATGAAGTTGCATTACTATCAGTACATATCAGTTTGACGA